TTTAAGCTTCGCAAATGATGCATGAAAAAATCAGTTGATTCAGAGTTAGAGCACAGATCAGCAGTTATTCTCCAAATTCTTCAGTACAAAATGCATAGAAAATCACTCAATTTGGGGTACATTCATCCATTTTTATGCACATCCCTCGGTGGACTGTCGCCTTTTTTGCACTCTTTTCTCGTTGTGCAAGTAGAGCGAAATAAATGCAAAATCCATTTAATTATGATTGGATTTTGCATATGCTAAATATTCAATTCCTCATTTTTGTTATTTTACATTTGAACTGTTTATTTATTTATTTGTCCACTCCGACCACGCTTTTTTCTGGTACACTCGAAAATCCCATGCCAGAGTATTTAGAGAACAATTGAGTGGATTTGCACAGGTGTTCGCGAAGTGAGGTTATGTGTGCGAGTGTGCAAATATGTGTGAAAGCATTTGTGGAGGGAAAATGCTGCGATGTAGTGAAAAGCTCCTTTCTCGGCTAGTCCAGGAGAAAAGCTCCTTTGTCACTGTACTGCAGTTGGTATTCAAAACATGATTTCCTCCCACTTTTTCCACTCCATAGACTATTTTTTTTTTCCTTTTTTATTCCTCCCCTAAAACCCACCCTTTTGTGTCGCGAACGCGGGAGATAGAGAGAGAGAGAGAGTGGAGAAGGTGTGGGTATTTACTGTGTGATTACACATTCCCTGGTTTTCCCATGTGCAATTGATGGGAACGCGAACTATGGGGACATAAGCAGCTTTACTTTCCCTCCAATTTGACGAGCAGATGCATTCATTGGCGACAAATTCCTGTCGCGAGTAAATCATGAGAAATTGGCAAAACTTTTCACGTGACTCTTCCAGCATTTTCCACCCTCCAACGATGGAAATCATCATCCAAATATTTCATGCTGTACACTTTCTTTGGCCTGACTTCCTTATGGCGCCTTCTCCTTGGGCGGATTTCGGGATATACGAGGAGTGAAAGAGTGTAGTGAAGAGGAAGGGAATTACATGGTGTAGTTTTTTCTTGTCCTTCCCACGCGCGCGCTTCTGCCTTTTGTGCTCCAAAGTATTTTGTATTGCACGTGTGAGAGGAATTCCTCGCCAATTTTCAATAAAGGTGATTGAATTTTTGAATCTTCTCTCCCCTTGTGATTGAATTTTCATTGGGTAGGAAATTCCTGAGGGCGGTGGAAATATCTTCACGCGTGTTGAGCGCGCAACTCTCAGGTAGATGGCGCACGGCATGTGAGCACGCAGCAGTGCTCAAATTTAGCAAATAAAGCCCTTCCGGGCGAAAGGGTCATTTTCCCAGTGAAATACAATACTTTGTATGTAATTTTCGTGCTGCGCGGGTGGCAAATAACCTCCGCCCACTCATTGTACTCTTATGCGGCATTGTTGTCGCGGGGCCAGAAAAGGAGTTGTAGGTTAGCTCGGGGAGCGACTTGATTATCCGTCACGCACGCTCGCACGAATAAATCCCAGGCGGAGCGGTTGGGAAATTAAAACGAGGGAAAATGCGGAGCAAACGCGATGTGGAGAGCACAGTGAAGAAGATGAAGAGAGAGGAATTCTCATGTCGCTGAGACTTTGCACGTGTTTTCACTCCATCTTTCGCGAGGGAGGAAAGCAATTGGAGAAAAATCACGGATGGGATGCTAACGGAAAAATATGCTGAAGGAATTCCTATCGTCATATATTAATATTCCCCTTCCGCACAGTTTGTCAAAGTAGCTGGGAATGTGTGTTTGTGGCCTAAGAAGAAATTTAATTCGTTAAAAATGGTATGAAGACTGAAAATCCCACTGTGGCAGATCATGGTATAAATTGTGCAAAACGAGTCGTTTACCTTCTCGCTCTGGATTGGATTTTGTCAATTCATTCTTCTTCCATTTCTCAGAGATTTTTTTTATTCGCAAGAAAACTGAGTGCAAAGGAGGGTCGGGAAAAGCTGAGGGATCAAGAGGATGATTGCAAATCTTCAACTTGTTACCTTTTGACTCACGTCTGTGCTCACACGCCAATGCCAAAATGGAATTACAAATTGGACAAAATGTATAACAATGCAAAAGATTTCTCTCTTATGTATTTACCTGTACTCAGTGAGAAAAAGGCATTTTTTTTGACGAAACAGTAGCTGGAATGGGTTTAAAACTGCTTTCTGTATAATTTTGTATGCATTTTTTTCCTCTTGTCTATGGCATAATTCTTTATTTATTGTATTTCAGTCTCATTTTTTCATTTTTCGCTCAGAACAATGCATTTTCATTGTCCATAAAATGAAGAAAGGGATGTGATCTGCATCATCTTCTGAATAATTCTCAACTATTGTTTATTACATTCTCACTCCTCAATATTACGTTGAAGGTGATCCTTCAAACTCTTCCTGTGCTTTCACACTTCTAAATGATAACCTCTCCCGAATCGGGCACTGGGCCTCTTCAAATGGGCTTCGCCTAAATCCTAAAAAATCGCAGGCAATTATCTTCTCAAAAAGGAGTGCTAACTTTCCTTATTTCACCGTTCTTCTTAACGGTGAAGTTATCCCTTATGCGGATCAGGTTAAAAACCTTGGTATTGTCTTTAATTCGACACTATCCTGGTCTGATCATGCCACCTCCCTTTGCCGCAAGGTCAACTATTCTCTTTACGTCCTCAGACGCTATCGGGACATCACGCCCTACGACACTCGGTTGCTTCTCGTGCGAGCGCTAATTATGCCATTCTTCTCATATGGAGCAGAGCTATTCTTCCTGGCGGATAGTGACACACTCCGTCGGCTGACTGTAGCCTTTAACAATTGTGTCAGGTACGTCTGCGGACTGGGTCCCCGCGATCACATTTCTGCCCACAGGGATGTGCTGGTGGGCTGCAGCCTGTCCTCCTTCCTGCAAATGCGAGCCCTGATTTTCTTAGATCGTCTTTCCATCAGCGGCTGCCCTGGATATCTGGCTTCACTCTTGACGAGGGGTGGTTCGACCAGGCTTCGGGGACTTCTTGTTCCTCGAGCTGAGCATGAGACCTTTTTCCGTACCCTCTTTGTCCGGGGGGTGTCGCTTTACAATGCCCTCCCGCGTGAGGCGCGCGAGACCGTCGGGGGCATCAGGAAGCACTTTCAGGCTGCTGAACTGGTCAGTGACCCATCATAGTTGAACGTTTTGAATACATTTTTTTTTTTTTTCTATTGTCTTGTCGATTCTTAGTCTTTGTTTTTCCGTTTTTTTTTTAATTTCTCTTTAGCAAATTGTAAGAGGGGTAGGCCCTAAAAATTCTGCTCAATAAAATTGAATTATGAATTATGAATTATTAATATATCTCTCATTCCTTTTTTATTGCTTTACGCAATTAATTCCTTATGACACGGAAACGTGCGCTTTATATCACTCTTTGCTTCCATTTCCATTATCAATTTAATTGAGAAATTCATAACCTTTCAATTAGGTGACTCTCTTCTCACCTTCTTCGTTGCGCTGAACATTCCGTGAAGTTAAGTGAATACCAAGGAAAATCTCGGCGGAAAATATTGCCCGTAGAGAAAAACTAATGAGTGACTTTATGTTACCATGACGATGTTTTATACTGAAATAATGCTCAATCTTTGTCGTTTTTTTGCGTGTAAATTACAAACGCGCCACGGCAAAAAGCCTCACAGATTCATGAAAATCACTTTGGCGCGCTTTTTTTCTCCTCAAGCGGCCACGAGGAAAATTTCCACCGCCAAGCGGGAGGGATTTTGATTTAATGCCTCACAGCGATTTTGTAAGACTTTTGATAAGAATTTTTTTTCTGTTTCCTCCACTTTTTCTTGGGCTGTGATAATCGACTATCAATTTTTATGTCTTATTCCTGCCAGTGAAATCTTCTGCCGAAGGGATGTTTTGCCTGGGGAAGAGTGAGGTGAAGTGTAATCAATGGTCGTGTGGAGCAGAAAGGCGGCGGAGGGAGACGAGAACAATCAGTCAAGCAAAACAACCCTTAATTTACTCAATTTCTCTCTGGATGGGTGATTTTTTTTCGTGTGCCGTAACACAAGGCGAAGAAGTTGAAGGGAAAATTGGCCAGAGTATGGCTGTGGAAGGAAGTTTCGCTGGGGCAACACGGAAAATGCCTCAATTAGAGTGCATTTTCCCTCCCCAACGTGAGTTGCGTGTCGGAAAGCAGATCCCCTATTTACTCACACATTCTCCTCATTTGGTGCAAATGGCCATTGAGGAAAATGTAAACGAATCACTGTTACAATTTTCTTTATTACCAATTCCACCTCCCTTCGGCTCATAACCTGTAGTCAACTCATGACTGATCGTTTCTTGCCTTGCCTTTTTAATTTCTCCGCACAAGGCGAGCAAAATCGTGTGCAAAGTGTACTTCAAATGTTCTCTATTCTATTAGCTGAGATGTGAAAGCGCAAAATGCTCTCAACTCTCAGTACTTTACAAACACTGAGGGCTTTCCAACAATACCACACCATATTAATTGGAATCCTTCTAGACTGTAGAAATTGATGGACATTCGACAGTGAAAAATTGCGACATTGTGGGGTGAGAATTGACATTTATAGTCATTTAAAACTGAAAGCTCGTAATTTTGCGGCATCCAGTCTTTAATCTACATAATTGGATTGACTTTTGATGTCGACAATTGGCTGAAAATGTAATCACAATCCATCGATGGCAATAATCATAATGAATTCATCCACTTATCTCCTTTCTAAATCAATTAATTAGCTATTTAGGCATCATTGATCGCCCGATTTCATACGGCCATCAATTAATCATGTCGATAAATCGCTCAATCACTCGTGTGTAGTGTACATTTAGCGCGAGCTGTTAATATGCCCTGCGGAGGAAAAGTGGGAAAGCGGTGGGAAAGGATTTCTCCCTGCGGAAAAATGCATGATTTTCCACTTGTAAAATTGGGTAGGGAGGGAAAGCGTGAAAATTTTCGTGTTTTATGTGAATATTCACGGTGAATTTTAATGAATGTGTGTATTTTTCGTGTGCTTGGCAGGACTCTAGCGGATGGATTGGTGGTATCGTTGGCTGTTGGTCTTCTGGGCACTGCTGGGCATCCCATCGCCACCCTTCAGTGACTGCCGGGCGAGCAACTTGAATGGCGACTCATCCGCCGCGTCCAGACGGTGCAAAGTGACGGAGTTTCCGTGCGAGAACGGCGGCTGCATTCCTCAGTCCAAGTACTGCGATCAGAAGTTCGACTGCTCAGACAGATCCGATGAGCCTAAACTGTGCACAGGTCAGTGGGGATTTGCCGGTCGCGCTCAATTTCCGGGGGTTTGAGGGTGGTTCTGCGAAAGGAAAATGGATAGCCAGCCATATGGCAGGATGACAGATGAGGAGTGTTGGAAAGCGGATCAATTGAAAAGCCTGAGCAAAAGTTCTCTAGCTCATTTTCTCATCCGCCTCCCGAAAAATCGTCCGACTATCACTAACACTCACCACGTTTTTTTTCTATCTCTTTCCACCCTTTTTCTCTTCTGCCAACCATAAATATTCCAGTGTGCAATCGAACACTGTACGGCGAAGTGGGCAAGACTTATGAACTCGATGTCCGGCAACCGAAGGAGCTTCCATTTATTTGTGATTTCAATTTCACCGCTCTGGGCAACGAGCACGGAGACATAATCCAGGTGAGTGGATTCCATGGGCCTCTTCGAGGAAAACACATTTATTCTCGAATGCAGGCATGCAAGAGAGGATATTTATCAGTTTCTCGGCTACATTTTTCCCACGTGAATCTTTCATCTGCTTCATTTTCCACTGGCAAAACTTCTGGTGGTGTCAGGTATTATTGCTGCCAGCGATTGTGCAGTGAATTCACAGGGTGAAAAGGGAGTTTTGCAAAGAGAAACGATGTTAATGATCTAGTGGGCGTGGCTTACGCGTAGGCGGAGCTTAATGTAAATCTTCTCCAAACAATGGTTTAGTTATATTTGATTTGTTCTATATTTTACAAAGTTTTGGAACAATTTTCAACTTCAACGTTGTTAAAATCTCGCTGGAAATTACTAACAAACCCTGATAACGCAGTAAATATGTTTAATGTAACTTATAATAATAGTCAAAAATTACTGTTATTTTTGAAAGAATGTAATTTTCTGGACACTTCGTTATCATTTAAAATGTTTAAGAGTGTTGTAAGCTGTAAAACTACCCTGTAACATTGTTCTGCATGCCAAAACGGGTGCTAAAGTAAAAATTCACGTAATCTTTTCTCCCATCGGTGAATAAGTAAATTGAATGAGTATCGCTAGCATCGTCCATCAGGTGAGATGCAGCAGTTAAATATGTAGACGTGTTTGGATGAAAATTTCAGGACACATCAACCGGAGGGTGGTTCATGTGTCATGGCGTTAAGTAAAGAGTATTGTTCAGCGTGGCATGATATGGCGGTGTCCAGATGCAAATCATTGAAAGCCTCTTTCGCTCATCCTCCAGATCAACTTCAACAAATTCAACGTGGGCCGCTTCACGTCCTTCAAGGATGCCGGCTGCCACGACGGCTCCATGGCCATCCGGGAGGCACAGCTGCCCTGGAGCGGCGGTGTGTGGTGCGGCACGGCGTGGGGATTCAATTCCTACTACAGCGAGACACAATCCATTAATGTGTCACTGAGATTGTGGCGTCTGCCGGGGGGCTTGACCGCCGCATCCAGTGCATCTGGTGGAAACTTCGAGTTCGCCCTCTCATACAAGTTCCTCAGGAGGGGTGAGTTGATTTGCAGCTCTTGGCAATATTTTACACTTTTGCCGCAACAGTGAATCTTGTGCGGCATTATTCACTGGCCGAGATTAACCGAACAGGGCTTTACCATTTTTTTCTGTCGCCCTATAATTCCAAAGGGGACGCTTTGCTGCGCAGCGACGAGGGCGCGTGGATGGGGGAGCCAGTGCCGGACAGCTACTGCAATCGCCATCTGTACGACTGTGACCAGCGCCGCGGCGGCTGTGTGATAAGATCGCCCAATTTCCCCGGCATCTATCCCAGGAACATCACCTGCTTGTACAGAATCAGCCAGCGCACCATCCCCAATGGGCTGCACGCGATGATCGTGCTGCGGCAGAGCGACCGCCACAAGCTGCACATCAAGGATCAGGCGCCGCAGATGGAACAGAACAGCCGCATGCTGAGGAGCTGGGAGCAGTGCGACCTCGTGCAGGACTACATCAGCGTGCGCGACGGCAAGACTCTGGACGATCCCGAGATCGCCAGGTTCTGTGGCGGAGACACGCTGCCCGAGATCATCGCCAGCGGCTCGGACATGGCCATTGAATTCAAGACGTCGCCCTACGACAGCCTCTTCCACAACTTCCAGGCGCCGAGCTTGATGGGATACGAGCTGGAGATTACGGTGAGTATTTGAGCTGCTTCCTCAACATGCTCCTCGCCTTGCCGAAACTGTCACAACTTCGCTCTAATTGAGGATCAATATTCTCGTGAGGGAGGCAGAAAGTTAGTCATCATAATTGCGTTTCCGCCGTGGCGTCGTTTAGAAGTTTTCAATGCCTTGGAATCTTATTACAACAGATGAGTGACGATTTATCAATCTGTCTAATGCTAATCAATGCAAGTCATTAGTTTATACACAATTAATGAACCTCAAATGTGATGAAATTTGTGTAAGAAGATTCCAAAGTGAATGACAAAATTAGGAAAATGTTGAAAAATCAGCAATTAAAAATAATTTAAAGTTTAAAGTGTGAATTCAAAAAGCTCCTTAAGTTTCTTGAATATATCATTAATCGCAAAAAGACAAAGAATTGACTAGAAAATTGAACTCGTCATCTCGAGTCCCACCAAGACATGTGAAGCAATTTTAGAATGCAGTAAAATTAGATTTTTTCGGAGAAAATGCTTATTTTTCGACTTTTTCTATTCATAAAAAATTAGGTCAGGCAGCATTCAAGCTTTCACACTCAGTGTCCATTTATCGCACTCAATTCACTCAGAAGCGCTAATCAGGTCCTTATCTTCATGCTTTTGATATTCTCAAGATTAAGCCAATTATATCGCAGTGTGTTGAGTGGTAAATCTCCCAAAAATGGTCTTCATCCTCAAATCTATGAGTAAATTGACCTTTTCCCACACAAAGTTCAACAAGCATTTTCTTAGGATTTCAACGAGAAACTTGCCAATTTTCACTTCCTTAACCGAGATCAAGTGAAACCAAATTCTTTTCCCTCCTCCCGAAAAGTCACCCAAATTGTTGGGATTTTCTCCGGAAGGAGCGCAGAGAAAAAAAAAGTATCGCGTAAATCAAGAAAGAGGAGGAAAAGTCTCATCTCGGGGAGAAAATCACCAGAAAGTCAACAGAATGTGAGACAGAGAGAGAGAGAAAAGAGTCTTGTTGACTGTTGAATTTCTCACCGAGTTAATCCAAAGTCTTATGGACATAAAAAAGGCGCTCAACCCACACCAAGAAGGATGGGATAGGAGGAGTGGGGAGAAGGGATGATAAGACAACTCAATGATAGTCATTGGGAAAAGTTGAGGAAGACACCATTCACCAAATGCTCGCCTTCATATGGGAATTTTGTGTACTTTATCTCAACTTCAACTCCCGAGACATCTGCTCACATATATCGCTGGGGTGAAACTTTGGCCAACTCCAGCGCGTGTGATTCTCGTGCTGAGACACTTTTGAGGAATCATTTTGAATTACAAAGTCTCGGCGGAGCTTAGCAAGGCGATGAACATTGAAAATTCATCGACAAGTTGGGCTTTTTTTTCCCTTGATAAATTACACATTCAGCCTCTGTGAGGCGATGAATATTACATGGGTGGAAAATTAGTGCTTTGAGACACACTTTCAACAATATGGTGAATGTCAAATTGATCTAGAATTGAGTTATCTACCGGACTTTGCTTATAATCTGCGACAGGTGCCAAATTTTGCAGTAGTTTATCATTTTTTTTTTAGGGAAATTGAATTCGAATTCACGTGTTTTAAAGAGAATTATTGAAGAGAAAAGGTTTTCGCAAATTAACATAGATTTTCAATAGATAAATATTAAAGTGGCCAGAATCGCCCCGCTCTCACCTATTGAGATTTGAGCAATGTTCATATTTCCTGCCGCCGCTTTTTGCAACTCTTTTCACGTTGGAGCTTATTTTCTCACTCATAAAAATTCAAGTTTTCCACTTTATATAATAAAATGGACTGTTGTTGGCGGAAAGACATCGGAAATTAGTTCATTTTATGTTTCATGCCCTCCTACGGAGTTTAACTATAAAATTCCAGCATGCGAGCTGTAAATCTTGTGCTGAAAAATTGTATTTACCTGGCTGGGCGACTGTCGTCCTGCTGCAGAGCATGGGCGAAGACATTAAAGCGGCAAGGCGGAGGGAAATGTCCCACGGAATGCTGAAGGTGAATCGAAGGTGCATAAAGTCATGAGATTACTCTCTTCTCTCTGTGTCATTTCCGCTCCTGTGGACGACACGTGTGCAGGTGAAGTACGTGAATGCAAATTCGCAGTCCTTCGTTCCGCCAGACAGTCGCTGTGAATTTACGATAAATGCTTTCGAGAATCCATTCGGCGAATTGGAGTCGCCGCGACACACGCTGCCGCCGAACACGCTCTGCCGCTACTACTTCCAGGGGCGCCACCACGAGACCGTGTGGATCTCCTTCCTCAAGTACAACGCCGCCCTGGACACGAGCGCCGTGTTCGAGGCGCAGGCCGAGTGCGCCCCACAACTGAGGATCTGGGACGGCAAGTTGGCGGCGAGCAACCGAAGCCATGGTGAGTGCGCGGCCCACTTCTCGTCCTTCCCTAGATTAACAATCACTTCGCTACAGGGTCGCAGTACGACTTCACGCCCAACTCCAGCCTGCTGGCGGAGATTTGTCGCGAGGACGTGCCCAAGCTCTGCTCCCGCTCGCTCATCACGAAGCGCGCGCGTCCCTGCACGGCTGACGGTGAGTAGAACGTGTCTCTTTGCGCTCTCGGGCCGTGGGAAAATTCACTTTCTCCCCCTCTCGCGCTTACCAGGCAAAAATCATCCAGGATTGATCTAAAAATAGTTTCCTCTATCTCGTACTGAGAGGAAATTGCAATTAAAATTGGTGCAAAAATCGTCAAAGTCAATTAAGGAGAACACGGTGGAAAATGACGGAATTTTTTTTTCCTTATACTAATTCGAACGGAAAGAAATTATAAATTTTTTTACTATTTTTTTAACCTCTCATAATTAACTTACATTTAAGCATTTTTTCCGTTTTACGTATTCTTCATTTAGTGTTTAATTAGTGTTGAAGCTTATCAAAATATCTCTTAAAAATGCTGTCAATTAATTTTGTGCATCTCCCATTTTTTCTCAGTTTGTTTATAGAATGTTATGTGGCAAATTTATTAGTGTTACTTTTCATTACTCGCGACAATTGCACAGAATAGCTCTTTATCGTTTAATTAAATCAACAAATTCTCTACAAAACCGAAATTTAGAATGCAGACTTGACTTATTTTCAGCCATTGATGGTCAAAATGCATTCATGACAATTGATTATGGCTTTTTCTATAGCTCCCTGCACTCTAATGGATTAGCTTGTTCTGCACAGCAAAGAGTCGTTATGAATAATCAAATGGAATGAGCCAATTGAGAAGTGAAATTCCCAGAAGAATTCCACTCGCAGTGAATTAATTGTTCAGTAGTGACAGGAGCTATTGAAAAGCAATTGATTTTCACTGAACTCATTGTGCAAATTCAGCACAAAGAGTCTCAATGCGATATCAATTAGTGGATGGAATTTTATGCAAAATACCTCCAAGTTCTTTCACTTCCGAGTGAAGTGTGCATGTAAGGCGATGAAATATTTCTGAATTAGCATTGGGGTGTAATATAGCGAAGTGAAAAGTCCTGATGGCAAACTTACACCACACCAGAGAGAACTCATCTTCCACGCTGTGCACTCATTTAATTGTTCACAAGATATTACCACACTCCTTTTGCTGCTGCCGCGAAAAGTTTTCCCGTGCAAAAATCTGCAGTGCGCGCGAGAGGAATGAAAAGTTTCTTCACACACACACACACATAAGTCAGATTCATGCTTTATGGTTTTGCACACAGCTTTTTTTCGCTCTCCTCCAGTGAGTAAAAGCTTTTTTCCCTCTGACTCGTCAAGAGCGTTGTTAGACTTGCCAGTGCAATTGTTTGCATCTCTTGGAAATTCCTTGGAAATCTATCAACTAAGCAACTCTGGGAGAGCAGCACATTTTCTCCACTCCTCTTCATCATCGCATAATAAACAGAATATAGAGAAAAATTTTCACAAATTCGGCATGTCAAAGTTTCTTTCGAGAACACTGCAATAGATATTTTTAGCATGACTACCAGCGGCAGAAACAAAGTGGAGAAATGGTTTGAAGTGGAAGTTGAGTGGAAATTCCAGGGACTTGTCGTTGCTCAGAAGAACTCTTGTATATTAGAAAAATACTTGCGCACTCGTAAATTCAACTATATTCACGTAAATATATTTCCTTTTCACTTTGTATTTATTTTTCTAAATTTTCGCGTTAAGAGCAGTTTTAAATGCTTAACTTTGTAATTTTACCGTTCGTACGAAATTATGGCTTTTTTTCACCTGGAATTTGTCATGCATGAAAGCAGAATTAATTGCAGTGCATTTTCCGATAATGTCTAAAAATTCTTTCTTCAGAGATAAAAAACTCCACCCACTTAATTGCTTCACCCATAGAAGTTTAAAAAAAAACTCTTCAAATCATTATAGCAAAATCAAAGAAAAGCGATATTTTGAGTGAAATTGATTAAATTTATTTTATTTATATCACTTTGTGATGAGTCGAACTGCAATTTCTCTTCAATTTTCTGCAATTTGAAAGCAGATCTACTCGATATGAATATTTCAGGAATTTCAGGTGAAAATTTTCTGAATCTGAATGTGGAATTGAACTCTCTGGAGTCTCTTTAAAGCACACCTACCGTTTACCTTGAATAGCGAGCGCCAGAGAGAGGAGGAATTGATGGAATTCCCAATCGGGAATTCCGGGAAGTGTCTCCCACAGCCTGAGAAATACTTGGAAAGCCTCTGAAGCACCGCTCTAATTACCTCCATTTGGCGCTCTTCCTTGCAGAGAGCTATCTATCGACAGGATCTGACCTCACGATGGAGTACAAGCCGAATCCGAGCGGCCCGGCGCGTCTGTACGGCCCAGTGGCGGCCTTCCGGCTGCGCTATGAGTTTGTTGACACTTCGCTGGGCGGCACGCCGCTGGATCAGTCCTTCGAGACATCGCTGTTTGCCCCCGAGCCGGCCGCCCTCACGCAGTCCCAATCCAAGTCATGCAATCGCCTGTATCGCTCCATTTCCACGACTCGGGGCATCTTCCGGTCGCCCACGAATGTATTCTTCTACGGACGTGGCGGATCTGAGAACATTTCCTGCACAATTCGATTTGAGGCCCGACGCGGCGAGAGCGTGAGGTGAGTTCTATAGAACACTTGCGAGACACCCACACTTGGCGAGAGAGAGAGGGAGTGTGTGGCAAGAAAGTTTGTGGGTGCGCCACACTCTTGTATTTGCAACTTTATCAAAATTGTGATAAATGGGAAAATGTTGGTAATATCCCGAGGGATGCATTAAAAATTTCCATAAGTCGGAAATCTTGGAATATATTAGAATTAATGTTTTGGGGGGCCACGCTTCAGATATATATTTTATTTATTCATGAAAATCTTCTATATTTCCTCCCAAAACTCTATAACACTGTGTGTCGTCTGCCGCTTTCTCTCTGTTACCCAAAGAAAAAAAAGCCCCCCAAAGAGAAAACGCGTAAAATGGGCTTTTCGCGGCAGAAGAATTCCCAAGAATAGAATAGAAAAGGAAGAAGAGACAGAGAGAGAGAGGGAAAGAGAGGAGAGAAAAAAAACTTTTCGATATCGCACACAATTTTCAATCAAGATTGTCGTCAATGGGAGGATGAGATGCGCTGTCTCTTCCTCTTTTCTCAGAAGTGAAACTTTCTGTTTTGCTGTGATTCTTTACATCTTTTCTCTGTGCCACGGAAGGAAGGGAAAAAAAGTTGACTGGAATGGGTGAAGAAGTGATCGGCAAAAAATTAGCCGGATTCGTTAGACAATTGCCTGAATTATAAAGAATGGCGAGAATAGACTTTTCCCATCTTTTAAATTATATAATATCTTTTACAAACAATTTTCTACTTAAAATAACTGGCCTAGTTTGGCGATGTTGCTCTGGAGAGGCTGAAGAAAATCAATGGGATTTAACTGAACTGAAATTTGTTGTTGAATTGTCGACTGGAAGAAGAGATGATTTATTTATTATTTCAGGCTAACCATCACTCGTGCCCGCTTCGGCGGTCGCTCTTGCCAGAACATACAGAACCGCTCCGGGCGCTGGCACTGCGACCATCACGGGGGCCCCGTGGCGGATCTGCGCATCGGAGAAGTGCCCTGGATGGACGTGGGCCCTCTTCCGCGCGATTGCATCTGCTCGGACGTCTCCCGGTCGCTCATTCTGGCGCCTCTGGCAGCCAACATAGTAGAAGTGCAGTTCAACACACACAGCATGAGCGTGGATCAGGATTTCCGTGACTTCTACTTCGAGGGCAGGTACGAATTCACGGCGGACGGCTGTGCCACGGATTGGAGCATGAGGCGCCTCAAGGGCAGGAGTGGCAATGCCTCGCTATCGGCGTCCGAATGCGCTCCGCTGATTCAGCCGTGGCTGCTGGAACCGGAGTCTCCGGAGGGCTATCTAGTGCTGAAGCTGAAGGGCTTCTGGATGCCGACAGTGATGAATTCTGTCGCTCCGTGTCCCACCGATGCCAGAATCACGGTGTACTCGACAAACAATCCGGGCAGTCAGCGCGATTTGTGCCCCACGACTGGGAATGACGTGGTGGCGTTCTCAGACGGTTGGGACAGTGCTTTCGAGTACAGTCCCGTGGAGTTGTCGCGCAGCCTCGTGGTGGAGTACAGATCACCGTGGAAGTCGGGGATTGACAACCTGGAGTATAAATTTGCTTGGATGGAAGTGTTTCCGCCGATTGAATGCCATCACAAGTGCACAGAATTGCAGGTAAATTGATCTTGATTGGATTCTCTGCTCTCTAAATTGCTCTAAATCTCTTTCTCTTCTGCGTCCTGTCAGGCGTGCATTGCACCTGAATTGTGGTGCGATGGTGTGAATCACTGTCCATCCGGACAGGACGAGAGCGCCGTGGAGTGTGACATCAATTTGCCCCTGTCGCCACTGTACGTGGGAATCGCGGCGGCCACATTCACGTTGCTGCTGTCGCTGACGGCGGGCCTGGCGGCGTGTGCGAAGCGCAAGAAGATCGAGGTGAAGCAGCACTACGACGCTCACGGGGATGTAAATGGGCACTTCCCGCCCCACTTGGCGGCCCACCATCATCACCACCTGCCGCCGCACGCCCTGCCGCCCATCTTCATCGACACGCCGGCCAAGGACAGCTTCTGTTGACAGGAGATCGAGACGTCCGTGTAGCTGCGAGGTGAGTGCGGATCGCGCCAAGGGTTGTGAGTGAGTCATGTGAATACCAAAGAAGCAATACGTACTCTGAGAAAATCAATATCTGTGCTAGATGGATATTTGACGAGATCCTATCCAAATGCATTGGACAATTGGGGAAACACATGTGGAGCTTTTTCTTGCGTTGGGGCGGCAGAGAGAGAGCCTAACAGTGGGGGGAGAGAGAGAGAGAGAGAGCGTGGAAAGGTTCACTCTCTCCCCAAATCGACTGCCTAATGACTCTCCTCTGACCCACAATTTATGGAGTATTACATATGGTGCGAGCATAATTTTCTCAGGCTGCGATGGAAGGGAAAAAAGAAGGGGTTGCACATGAGAAAGACAAATTAGTCGTATATTAAAGCTCAGCATTTCACAAGTCACGTTTAGATATTTTTTTCTCTCCTCGCCTCGAGTGTGGAGGAGAGCGAGGGAAATCCTCGACAGCACGCATTTTCCTTTCAATTTCGCCTCCCCCCCACCCGCCCTGAAGCCTGTTGGGGACTGCAATACTATGCTCAAGTTTCCCCAATTTTTTTCCTCACACACGCCAAAAAATGCCGAAAGCAGGCAGTGTAGAGGGCAAAGAAGAAAAAACATGTGCGAGGAACTCATAAGAATAAGAACACAACGAATATTAACTATTTGAACTTTTGTAAATAATATAGAAATACCAGACACTTGTAGTCTCGAGAGTGATAAATTTTACCGTGAACATGAAAAAGAGAAGGAGAATGTTTTGGGTGTAAAAAGTATTATTCCATGGGAATTCGAGGAAATAATTTTTCATACAGTGTGACATAATTTCCACCTTTGTGTTTTTTTTGCCACACGCAATTTCAGCATTGCAGAGAGAAAGAGTCTGCAAGCGAGAAATTAAGCATGAGAGTCCCAACTTAATAGACTGTTAAATTATCCCGGGCAATTTATAGTTAGCAAAAGCTCGCAATTTTCTCTCCCCTGGAAAGACGGCAGAAAATCAATCTGCAGTTCTTCCTTCATCTCAAGGTATCGAAATAAATAAATGAAATATTCATAATATAAATATCATGAGTGAGTGGATAAGTGAATTATTAATGGATGAGTGAGGAGAATATAGAAGAGGAATCATTGTGCAGATGAGACTCGCTGGCATGATTTCTACGCCCACAAATACACTCATGGCAATCATTTCGGGAGCGGAACGGCGTGGAGAATAATTAGGCAGTGAAGGATGTATTTTATGGTAATTTGTACTCATTTCGATATAGTCTCGCGGTCTTCCTTAAGGTCTTTGTCTCAATTTTCTTCTTAACTCTGCACTCTTTAATCACGGCAAAGCCAAAGTCTCTAATCGCACTGTTGCTGGAGTCTCACTTCTACGAACTACAATCCGTTTTCCTAATTTCGTTATTGTCCTTTCGTGCTTCTGGAGAAGACATCTTCCTCCCTTGGAAAGGAAGATTTTCAATCTGAGCTAAGTAGCTTCAATGCTCCAAAATTTTCGTCTTTTGTAACACTTTTTCCTTTCTCGACTCTTCTTTGGATTCATGAGAAAGATTTTTATGAAAATGTTTGGCTTTTTCTTAAAACAACAGAATTATTATTCGGTTTACTTAAAGTAATCGCATTAATTTCTCAAGAATTTCAATTATGTGTTTTATTTTGAAGGCAAATCTGCGTTTCCGAAAATTTTTGCCACGAGTGTCGAATATTGTTTGGTAAAAATCTAATTCTGAATTCCATCGTGTGTTCAATCATCAGAATTGTTGGCGTAAATCACTCTTTTTCTCCTCTTCTTTCGATCCCCTCCCAAATATTTTCTTTCCCACGGAAAAACAGAATAATTCAGAGGGCGAAGGAGGGTGGCAAAAAGCCGAGGCGAAAGAGTTGATATTGTGTGATAAGAATTGGCAAACTTTGGGGTGAGCAGAAGAAGAGAGTGAGAGAAAAAAGCACTTGAGGATTCTCTCGGTCTATTTATTTTATTATATTGTGTACATGTTGGCTATAATAAAATGGAGTGAAATGAATAATAAATATAAAAGTAAAATTGTAATGAATACTGATATATTATCAAGCTATTTTTCACCATCAAAGGCGAAAGAGATTACAAGTGAGACAAGCGCGATAAGTCATAAGGCGAGAGCGTAGAAAAATGATAACAATGTGATGACATTATTTAGAAAGGAAATTTCTACAATTAACTCTTAAGGAATGTGTGGCAATTGATATTTTATTTCCGCATCTGATGTGTTTGGAAGTCGTCAAAATTTGTAATTTGTGAGGAAATTAATCAAAAAAAAATGGTGGTGGATGAAGAACGGGAATTATTTCCTTGTTAATTGTTTGTCTGAAAGTCGAGAGCGCAAATTTGGCGGCGGGGGAAAATGGGGTGGAATAATGCTGCAATTAAGACCATTTAATGGGGTGAAATATGCAAAAAGAAAGGGTGCAGATCGAAAATGACTCGATGGAGCTTCGCTTGGCTCAGCAAAAGGTGAAACGTCCCATTTAATTTCACACCAAATCACATTGCCAGGCACAAAACAGGGGTGAAAAGTTTCTTGGCTTTAAGCGATGCGATCGAACATAAGAAGTTCTTGCGATAACCGCTCTTGGCGCTAGTACCAAAATGTTGTATTTAGGATTTTTCAATTATCACAATGTCGTGAAGAACCTAAAAAAAGCAACTCAAGAAGCTATATTTGAGTTTAGGGATGGAAAAGTGAAGCATTATTGGCCATACTGTATTTTGCCTTAGATTGAGATTTCATATTTTCCCCTTTTCAATGCCTAAGAAAGACTTTTTAACTTAATTTCTGTACTCTTCCAATGCTCAATTACAAAAAAATATTCGGTTTTCTTTACTGGTGTTTTAAAAACCACCTCTAATTTCCCTATATTTTCTTTTGTTATTTCATTAGTGTCTTTTTTCCATCCTTTCTGTCTGTTTAAATACATTTGCTGTTTGCGGTCTTAAAGATACTTTCAATGTGATTTTCAATGTATTTTTCCACCTCCTGATGCACCTCTGCGTCGCCCAGAAATTGCTGGCTGAAAAGAGCGGAGCACTTTTGCCATGCTCGGTGGGCGCAAATTGAAGATTTAATTGAATTTTAATTGCAGGTAATTAGGGAGATGCAAAATGTGTGCGCTTTCGAATTCACGTGTGTTGAAAATGTTCCGTGTCGATTGATATTGATTTCTTATGAAATTTCACAATGCAATTCTCATGTCTCTCTTTCTGCCTTATGAATAATTATGTGTGCGTGCTTCAGATTTTCTGTTCGCAATGTTGAGGACAGGAAAGAAATTATGCTCTCTTCGAGAAGCAAAGTCCTTGAGTTGCTCGTGAAATTTGCAAGAATCTCAATTGAAGAGTCTCGCGAAGTCGAAGGAGCTCGGAATGTTCATGCAATTGTGGGGATATTTTTTGGGGTTGGGAAAGTGGGAGGAGGGAGAGACGACGAGAGGAGCACGAGTGGTCCTTCATTGAATCACTTTTATCATTTTTCCCGCCATTGAAATTTCCTCGGGAATTCGCCATTCTTTTCGCCCGTGTTCTTGCTTCACTTCACACTGAAGGATATTTCACCTTTTGTGAGCTTTTCTCCACCATCTGCACGACAATTTATGTTTCTGCTCATTTTCCCTCAATTGTAAATGCCATGGGAGAGAAGCGAGAAGCGCCGGTGTAGGGGAAGGACGGGTGAGATGATGCGACAGAGGAGAATTTAATGAAATTATTTGCTACAAATCCATTTCACAATGAAATGCAAAAAATGAAAATGTTGCCCAGAAAAGGGAGCGAGAAAGAAGAGATATTATTAGAAGAGTCGCCATGTTGGCCGCAACTTCCCTTATTTTGGTAAAATGACTCTTTCTTCACTGATGAGAATTTGTGCTGAATAGTGAGAAAAATGTCATATTTTCACCTTTTGCACTGCTTTTCCTTTTTATTCTCCTTCGCGAGGAGAAAGACAATCTCAAAGAGGTGCCATAAAAGAGACGTGAAAGGAGAAGAGAAATTTCTCGTGAGAATAATAAGTTGAAATGCATATATTTTTGTGAAATTTGATCCTTTTTTTTCTTATTAGACGATCAGTGGTAGAAGAGTAGATAAAATGAATATTATTTTTGAGAAGAGAAATAAAGAAAAAAAAACAGTTTGAAGATAGAGGAGAAAAAATTTAGAAACGAAGAGAAAAAGTAAAAATGAATTAATATTGTGTATTTAAGAAGTAAAAAATTAGTAAAGAATTCCCGAAGAAAAACAACGTGAATCATTGCATAGAAAGTAACCATGATAATCACTAAAGAAGTAATATAAAAGAAATAGTAAAATTAAAAACTATCAATTTAACCCTTTTGTATATTAACTGAGGCTAAATAAAAGCGAAAATGAATCATTCTATTAGTCATTTTGAACCTAATAGAAATTATTATTGGGAGTGAGAAAAAATTATGTAAACCTGTGAACGAGAAAAAAAACATCAAGTTAATAAAGAAAAAAAAAACCTTGAAATATTTGCAATATTTCAGAAAACTGAGAAAAACTTCAAGGAAAACCCTAAAAAAAATATACTTAGATTATAATAATGAAAATGATTAAATTTCACACCCCAGAAAAAATGATGATTGAGTAAAAAAAGACGTAAATATACAATTAATAAAAAGACCTTTTTGCATGTTACACAATTGTAAATATTATTGAAAAAAATATTCCCCCAAAAGAGAACACAATAAAAATGAGAACACTACACACAATATTTGTGCAGAATCATCATTGCGGGGATTTTGCCATCTGCGCTGAGGCTGCACACTTGCGCGCGCTCGGGAATCCTTTCGTGGCCTAAATTGAATCGGTGAGTTGCTATTTCTGCTCATTTTTTCAACTTTACTTTTAGTTGAAAAAAGTGATCCCAACGATATCACATTTATTCAATTTTTCTGCTTTTCACAGCTACTTTGCTGCAAACGAGAAGGCTTTGGAGGCTCCGCCCTCTCAAATACCACGCCCTTTTCTATTAATCTCCTGCCACTATTAATAATCCGCGAGATCTTCTTTGACCCCAAACGCTCTGTCCATAATCAAAACATACTCTTGTATGGAATGTAATCAATTTATTTCCGCTCATCTTTGGTTTCTTGGCACATTTCCCATCTCTATCGATTACAATATGTGTCTCCATGTGACGAATGCACTGCAATGGAAATACTGACATTATATAATTTTGTAAATTGGCATGTGTATTCAGAGGATGTCCAACGGATTCCCCGTGATGCCAATCACATCGTTTATCGTCACAGCGATGCGACGCGAGTGTTCCAGGCAGAGATTGGAGTTCACGAGACCCAAGTGCACGAGATAGAGATCGAAGGATTTGATCCTGGCCACGGACGTGCGTGGGAAGAGCGTCTCTGTGATCTTCTGGTAGTAGTTTGCCGACGTGGTGTGATTCTCCGGACACGAAGGCACGTCCTTGGGATCGAGGTACTGGCCACACTCGTCCTCGTACCACGTGAAGAAGGAGTAGGAGAGCGCCGGACTCTTCCAGATCAGCGAACTGCGGCCCTTCTTCTTGTACTTGGCCATCATGTCGATGGTGGCGAAGAACTTCGCCCTGGACAGCAATCGGGTATCTTCCCAGTTGCGCTCTGGCGAGATTATTCTACCATCGCTGTTGTCCACGAAGATAAAGTGCACCAGGCCAGGATACTCGTCGATGTACGCCTTCATGGCGCCCTTCTGCTGCTCCAGGGAGATTTCACTGAGCACAGCCTCAATGCCGGACTGGAAGGTCACGGAGACCTCCATGAGGAGGCTATTGGAGGACAACGGCAGGAAAGTGTCGAAGAAGAGGGTCTTGAAGAGCAGCTTCAGGCAATCTATCAGGCCCGGAAGGGAGGCTTCGAAGAACTTTGTCACTTCTCTGTAGGAGGAATTCTTGGCCAATTCGCTGAACTTCTTCTTCATGCCATTCCAGCGAATCTCCACGGACTTTCCCATCCGCTCGGCCTCCACTTTGGCCATGCGATTGCCTTTCAGCGCCTCCAGGATCTGCTTGATCGCCATGTCGCTCTTGTCAATCATCGACTTCACGTTGTCCGCGTCCAGAGGGTAATTGTGTATCTTGCACAGGAAGGTCAAAGTGTCGAAGATGACATCAGCCACGTCTGAGTTGTCGTACTCAATGGCCAGGAGGAAGATCAGGGTGTCTGAGATGCGGTGGCCAAAAACTATGTGCGGTAAGCAAGAGTTTTGCGTGCCTGTCAAGTAGATTAGATGGCAATTTGAAGACTTTATCTGTGTGCTCAGGACGTTGATGTGCAATAGATCTCGTGCTGACAAATCCCTCGTGGAGCGGGACGAGAAATCCGACACGAGCTTCCCGTGACTGAAAAGCAGCGCGTGATGACGAGAGAAGAGCTGCTCTTCCTTGAGATTCCTCAAACTTTCTTGCACATTGGCCACAATTTGACTCCTCAATTCTGTACTGATCAGCATGAATTCCACCTTTTCCAGCCGCGTGGCTTGATCCTGTTCATGCATCCGCGTCCAGGCTTTCATGAGATTCCTCAGCAGGGAGGATTTCTCAAAATCCAACCGCAACAGTTGAATATCCGGACCGCAGATGAGTTTGCTGAATTCCCGACACGCTGACAGCACAGTCTTCTCCATCTCCACATCGCCAGTGCCAATCTTGAGGTACAGAAAGCCGAAGAACTCATCATAGATGACACTCAAGTTGCCTAATGTCTGCAATCGCACGTATTTGTTGTCGAATTGACTGCACATCACGCGCTGGGATGTGACAATAGGGTTGAGGAGTTGCATAACGACATCACTGTCTAAGTCTTTGTCCTGGAAAGTGAGGAGATGTGTGAGAAAAGATATTTTTCTTGGGTCAAAAACACCAAACAAACACTCAGCACTAACCTCAAAATTCTCCTCCAGTAATCCATTAGCTTTTCCCAGTTCCATGAATTTCTCTCTCAGGGAATCGCTGTAATCCTGGTAGAGGATGATGTTCTGATGTCCTATGATGAAAAGTCCGTCCATTTCAGGGGGTTTTCGTGGATATTCACTGCAGTTTTTTGTGCACTTCTGAGCGATTGAGCCGATTGAGCAGCTGTGTTGTTTTTCTAGCACTCACTGACGTCACGGGTTTAAAGAGCGATTTAAAGAGCCAAAGGTCGGTGGCCAGTTTGTTTTGTTTACTCTGGCGTTTTTCGCGATTTCCTGGTGGTTTTTTTTTTGCGAAAGAGGAATCCAGGGAGGAAGTGACGCACTGTCAGTGGGGTTGATGAGGATGTCAATTGCAGAGATTGCTGGCAACTGCGCATGAATGCTGGATAACGGCTGGGCGACGTCAGGGTATCGATCGATAGACTCCTTGGCACACGGCATTGATTGATTTTCGCGCTGGGTCAGCGAGTGAAAAGATGCCTCTGGTGAGTATCCTGCGCAAGGCGTCGAGCTACGTGCTGGGCGGCGAGGAGGAGCAGCAGGAGGAGAGTGGCACATCATTGGAGGACAATGAGATCATGTTCTGCAAGAACAACGTGTGTGTCCATCCGCCCACGGTGGTGAGGAGCGAGTACGACGTTCTACACCATCCGGGCTACTTGACGGTGGCCAGCAAGACGTTCATCGATCAGCACACGAACGCCAAGAGGCATACACTGCTCCTCACCTGGATTCCCAACTCCACGCTGCGGAAGTGCCCAGCCACCATTGAGAAGGTCAGTCTGCGCGGGGAGATTGATGAGCAGGAGCTGTGCAGGGAGCTGAGTCAGATGAGCGAGGTCTCGGTGACGATCAACAGCAAGAATCCCTTTGCCAGCGATATGATGAGCGTCAGCAATGGCTACACGTCTGACTACTCAGAGACGGTCAGCGTGAGCTCCAGCAGCGACAAGATGGAGAGAGATTCCGTGCTGGGCAGCGAGGAGAACGACAAGACAGAGCAGGACGTTGATCCGGAGGTGGAGGAGTCGAAGAAGGAGTTGATAAACGAGCTGCAACCACTTCTGGACGGCCCAGAACCTGTCCTGCCGAAGCCACCGCTTCAGCTCACCAGCGTGAACATCACGATAGCCAATCCTCGGATTGAGAATGTGGACATCTCGCCGACTGATGGGCTGATTGAGAATCCCCAGCTAGCGGCCAGGTTCGCACGATCTCTGAGCGAGGAGAGCAACAATCCGCACTGGATGACACCCGAGATGCTCGCCTTCAGGCACAATCTCGCCTTTCCCGAGACATCGGCCACCAGTTCACCTGTCGTGCACCGCCGGACTCCGATTGTCCTCAAGTGCCGCCGCTTTTCCGTGGATCTCAGTCAGATGCGCTCCTTGAGGCTCTTCTTCAGCGACACCGAGTGCACATCCGGCCAGCTGGTGATTGCGTCGCGGGAGTCGCAGTACAAGATCCTACACTTTCATCACGGCGGACTAGATCACCTGGCACAGGTGCTCCACCAGTGGCACAGCGTGCTGCACAACATTCGGTTGGCGCAGGAGGACCTCACCTGTCCCTACCGGCAGTTCATGGTGTGCCGGCCCGAGGTGCGCAAGTCTGAGCTGCATCCAGAGGAGGGCAACGTGAGCAAGATCACCACTGACTACTTCTACGGAACACTGCTGAACAAGAAGGGCCAGATTGAGGACGATCTGCTACTGCGGAAGTGCGTTTTCTTCGGTGGGCTAGAGAAGAAGCTGCGCAAGACAGTGTGGCCGTTCCTGCTGCAGTGCCACTCCTTCTACTCCACCTTCGAGGACAGAGCCACGCTGGCCGAGATTCGGCGGCAGGAGTACGAGGAGCTGACCAAGAGGCGCCTCTACTCCATGTCGCCGGAGGAGCACGCCCACTTCTGGCGCACCGTGCAGTGCGTGATTGAGAAGGACGTGGTGCGCACGGATCGCGGGAATCCCTTCTTCGCCGGCAACGACAATCCCAATATTGAGATCATGAAGAACATCCTGCTGAACTACGCCTTCTACAACCCGAACCTATCGTGAGTATTGCTCGGCTTTGCATCATCCTGGCTTTCAATGTCTCACGTTCATTTGCCGGTACAGACAGGCCAATTTCAGGTACACGCAGGGCATGAGCGACCTCCTTGCGCCCGTTCTGTGCGAGATCAAGAACGAATCCGAGACCTTCTGGTGCTTCGTGGGTCTCATGCAACGAGCCGTCTTCGTCTGCCAGCCTCTGGACAATGACATCGATAGGAATCTGGTGAGTCTTCACTGATTTTGGCAAATGATGAGTGGCAGGAAAAAATCCCTCCCTCGATTTTTTAGAGCTACCTGAGAGAGCTGATCCGCATCATGATCCCGCCATTCCACGCGCATCTGCAGAAGTTCGCCGACGCCACTGAGCTTCTGTTCTGCCACCGATGGATTCTGCTATGCTTCAAGCGCGAGTTCACTGAGGCCGTGGCCATCCGGATGTGGGAGGCGTGCTGGTCAAATTATCTCACCGACTACTTTCACCTATTCCTCTGTCTGGCCATCATCGCCGTGTACGCGGACGACGTGATCGCCCAGGATCTGCGCACGGACGAAATGCTGCTCTACTTCAGCAGCCTCGCGATGTACATGGACGGACAACTGATCCTGCGCAAGGCTCGCGGGCTGCTGCACCAGTTCAGGCAGCTGCCCAAAATCCCCTGCACCCTGTCGACGCTGTGCAAGCGCTGCGGCCCCGGCATGTGGGACTCTGGCCACCATCCAGCCATCGAGTGCATCGGGCATCTGGACAATGAACACTGTGCTTTCGCTTTTGACTAAAACACCTGTGCGCCTCTTTAGCAGGTGTCGCAAGAGTTTACAATGATCAAACACGCATTAATGTCTATTATCTGTTGCTATTTTCGAGACTCAAATAAATTATTTCAATTGTCCTCCACTGGGTTTCGGACATTTCCAAGCTTGGGTATGGGATGTTTCACTTATGTTTCGCTCATGTTTAACAGAGAAAATTTAAATGCAACTGATGTTTTACAGCTAGCCGAGACACAATGGCTTTTAGGCGGGCCTTATAGCTGAAATTTCAACTATCAACCCACTCGTGTTGGCTTGAAAAGTACAAATTAATTGAATTTCCCAGATTTCCACAGAAAATGTTCCAAAGATAAATAACCACGCAACCTAGGTTGCATATTAAAGTTTCTTGCATGAAGATCGATGTGTCTTTGATATTTTTTACGCTTGACATGAAACGGGAATCGCCGACAGCGCCCCCAACGGCAGTTTGTTTGACAGTCCCCGGTTGCCACATGTGTATTCGTGGTGCTTCTGCCTGAGTTATTTCGTGTTTTCCCTTAGAAATTGCGTTAGAAAAGGTGAGTTTACCCTCCAGATGTGCTCTTGAGACTCTTATGAGTGAGATTCACGTGTTATTCGGTGGTTGAATGTGGAATTTCTCGAGTTATTGCAGATGAAAATCAGGGTGTTTTCCAGAGGTGTCTCTCTGCCAACATAACCTCACAGTTTTCCCCTCTTGCAGGTCTCAAAATTCCACAAAAATGGTCCTGTCGTGTAGATTCTACAAGGATAAGTACCCTGAGGTCAGTATCTGCTGTGTGTGAGTCTTCCGGATGGTGGGAATTGAGGTCAAGTTGCTTTGCAGGTAGAGGACGTCGTGATGGTGAATGTGCGCTCCATCGCCGAGATGGGCGCCTATGTGTACCTCCTGGAGTACAACAACATCGAAGGCATGATCCTGCTGTCCGAGCTGTCGCGACGGCGCATCCGGTCTATCAACAAACTGATCCGCGTGGGCAAGACGGAGCCGGCGGTGGTGATTCGTGTGGACAAGGACAAGGGCTACATTGATCTGTCGAAGCGGCGCGTGTCCGTGGAGGACGTGGAGAAGTGCACAGAGCGCTTCTCCAAAGCCAAGGCGGTGAACTCAATTCTGCGTCATGTGGCGGACATCCTCAGCTTCGAGTCGGACGACCAGCTGGAAGATTTGTACCAGAAGACAGCGTGGCACTTCGAGGAGAAGTACAAGAGCAAAGCGCACGCTTTCGACATTTTCAAGCAGGCCGTGGTGGATCCCAGCATCCTCGAGGAGTGCGGTCTGGAGGAGCGCACGCTAGACGTGCTGCTGGACAACATCAAGCGGAAGCTCACGTCGCAGCCGGTGAAGATTCGCGCGGACATCGAGTGCGCGTGCTATGGATACGAGGGAATTGACGCCGTCAAGGAGGCTCTGCGGTCCGGACTGGAGCTGTCCACTGAGGAGCTGCCCATTAAGATCAATCTCATCGCTCCGCCGCTCTATGGTGAGTTGAAATCGAGCGTTTTTATGGTTGATTCCATTTCCTAATCTCGTGCTCTCCTTCCAGTCATGACAACCTCCACTCCCGAGAAGGCGGACGGTCTGAAGGCCCTCGAGGTGGCGATCGAGAAGATTAGGGAGACCATCGGCGGCCTAGGCGGCGTCTTCCACGTGCAGATGCCGCCGAAAGTCGTCACGGCGATCGACGAGGCAGATCTGGCGCGGCGCCTGGAGCGCGCAGAGCAGGAGAACGCCGAAATTGCCGGCGACGACGAGGAGGAGGCTGAGGAGGGCATCCGCTTCGAAGGTGAGAATGACGAGGAGGGCAAGAGTGGCGAGGAGGAGGAGGAAGAGGAGCCGCCCAAGAAGAACTGAAGCGCGCTGCCAGGAATTTCAGGTGTTTTTTCCATATATAAAGAGAATCCGCGTAAGATTTGAAGAAAAGCCACAGTTTCTTCTGTACATTTAACTGCAATTGTTTTACTATTTGCCATCGCGGAAGGTCACAATGGTGCTCCCGATGGCCTTCTCGCTGCAGATGTGCTCGATGGCGCGCTGAGCGTCCTCGGGCGTGAACACTTGGTCCACGACGGTCTGCAGGAGGCCGTCGTTCACATAGCCGGCGAGTCTGTCCAGCGCGTGGTGGCACAAATGCGGGCCGCCCCAGTCCGGGGGGCTCCTGATGGCCCAGCCGGCGAGGCGGCGCAGCGACACGAGCCAGGAGAGGAAGAAGCGCCCCAGGAAACCGAGATTGTCGGACCAGAGCGGCGCTTCGCACGTGTCGATGATCCTGCCGCCGGTACGCAGGTGTTTGTACAGGAAGGATCTGTCGTAGCTCACGTGATTGGTGAAGAAGATGACGTCGAAGGTGTCCTCGCGCGTAGCCAGGACATTGCTGAGGTTGAATTTCTCTAGGAGACTCGAGTCGGTGGAGAGAAACAGTCCGTCTGAGGGACTCTCGCCGCGCAGAGTGATCACATCGTCGGCTCCTGAAAGGGAGAAAGAGCAGGGAATGAGTGTATGGCGGAGTCTTAGGCAGATCTCAGGGGATTCTAAACCTTGTTCCTCTTGATTTTGTCAGCGGAAAAGACATGAAAGAATTGTCCAATTGGTGAGAAAGTGGGCATTGAGGGAGGGATTGAGGCTACTTACCCAGAGCTCGGATCACAGGAACTGATCTCACGTAGCACGTGGCCGTTACGGTGGCGCCCCACTTTTTCGTGAGCTGCGTGAGGACGCAGCCGACGGGCGAGCAGCCGTCCTGCACGAGGATCCGCTTGCCTGAGCAGTTGTGCTCGCCCAAATCCGCCTGCTTGAGCGCCCCCAGCGCCACACAGCCGCTGTATGGTAGACTGGCGGCGCCCTCGAAGCCCGTGATGAAGGGCTTCCGGCCCACGCGACTCTCCGGCACCACGGCAGCCTCGCACGCCACTCCGGGCGCATGCCAGGGCGCCACGAGCCACACTTCGTCGCCGATCTCCAGGCCGCTCCGACAGTCTCTGCCCACGGCCTCGACGACACCAGCCGCCGCTCTGCCGAGCACCAGCGGCGTCTCTGGGGCGTGTGTGATCATCTGGCGTAGCGTGTGGCCGTAGCCGCGCGTGATCTGCTCGTCCAGGCGGTGGAAAGAAGCCGCCCGAATGCGCACGAGAATGTCCGTTCCAAAGAACATCTGCGGCACAGGCGTTCTAGACAGAGAGACGCTCTCCGGCGATCTGAAGGAGGTGCACATGATGGCTTTCATCACTGGCCTGGCCAAGGTGGGTCGCGCCAGCCAGAGGCCCAGAAAGAAGCCGCCAGCAGTGCCCAAGCCGAGTCCCACGCACACGAAGAAGGCGTTGTTCCTCGAGATCTCGTCCCTGAAGTACAGCTGCAGCTGCTCGTAGAGTATCTGCGGATCTGCCAGCTCCACTGCCGAGTGTCTGACCCGCTCTAGGAAATCCAGACAGCTATTCCAGAAGTTCTGCCACGAGCTGCGAACGCCATCGAAGGAAGGATCTCTGAGGGCCTGGAAGGAAAGGACAATTAGAGTTGCAAAAGTGGTTTTGATGACGATTTCCTACCCTCAGCGCCATATTCCTGCTCTCATCTGATGCCTGGCGGACTATCCGCATCCCACTCTCAGCCGCCATCCCGAGGCGCACCTTCTCAAAGGCGGGAAGAAACTCTGATTAGTGTGGCCTAAAAGCTCTAAAAGATCCAGTGTTACATGATCCAGGAAGACACACTGAGTCACTCCGGACAGCTGCCCAGTGAGGTTAGTTACATAACACCCATCACCAGACACACAGATGATGGAGATGTGCCTCCTGACAACCTTCACAGAGTGACTGGACAGATGATATCTCATGACATTCCCTTCCGGGATGTGTTTACCTGGAGTGACTCCAGATTTTGCTCCATTCTGAACACGACCTCGTCCATGACTTCAGGTTTTGTGTAGCCTCTTTAGTGTGTGGATACTTAAGGAGTGGGTATATGGGGATAGGGTGGGTATTTTCCTGGGAAATTCACAAATAATGGGATTTTTTCATCATCTCCAGTTTCACAGTCCAGTCACTATTGCACATGAAACACTTTACTGAATACACTTGGCAACTCTTCAGAGCGTGGAGGCTGTGATCTGGAGGCAGAAGAGATGAAAAATCTGCCCAGGACTGTGGAAAATCCCGGGAAATGGAATTTTTCAGAGCGATGCACGTTAACCCCACTTTTGCCGCGAATTGACGGCACGTTCACTGCCAACTTCACTCTGCAAGAATTCCACATGACGTCATCAATGGTGCTGTTTGTAAATACGACTCGTTGGGCTGAAAAATGGCTTCTCTTCAGTGAATCCAGGAAAAATGTGAGATTTCGTAGTGATTACACAGAAATTCCTTTAGAAAATCTCATGGAAAATCATGAGCGAGATTTATGTTTGAGGTATTGCATGAAGTTTTTGAGAATCATTGGGTTTTTGTGGATGGACAGCGAGAAGATCAATTTTGAGAGCGTCTCTAAATTTCCTGCTCCTTCTGATTGACTTCCTGTTTGATTTTTAATTAAAACCACCCCGGAAGGAGTCCTCCGGCCCACCGAAAGATGAATAAACTCCAGTGTGGCTGCGATGTGGAATGAATTTGCCGCACTTCATTTGCCGACTTCCGGACGCGCAGGGACTTCCGGAAGTGTGACGGGCGTGGAAAAAGCTGGCCAGAGAGATGGTGAGTGGAAAATATAGAGCGCTGAATAGCCGAACTCAATAATAGTGCTGTTTGTTCGTTTACTTTGTAGGTTTTTGTGGAGATGCGAAGCGGAAAAATGGGTATTTTAGCGACTCCGCCCAGCGATAAGGAGTGTCTCTGAACATCTGCCACTCACTTATTCGCAGATGCCGGAGATATCCCACCTCTTCTCTGGCCCGCAGTCTCGGGCGCGAGCGACAGAGACGGCGGAGAGCGTGCGCATTGGTGTGCCGTGTGGGAAAAGAGGTGGGAACTGAGGCAATCTCGGCCCTGATTTGCCTCCATTGCCGGAGATTCGAGCCAGTCTTCAGTGCACTTGAATCTCTCGTCTCGTGAGCACACTGTTGCCCGGCGCGCGGATCCTCAGCTGGCACATTTGAGAGCAGTTTGCCCGAACAGTAGCGCGAAATGTGTGACAGAGTGTGACTATTTTTACCATATTCAGGATGAGAGGAATTCGTGAAATGTGAGAGATTTCTGGTGACCCATAATTTGTTCAGTGATATTTCGTGTGATTTGTGGCGGCACAATTTGAGACTTGAGGCGCGCAGTGATGGAAAACTCTGCCTATGGATCGGCTCACTTGCCATCACCGGCTCTCGTGGTGTTCTCCCAGGCCGCCAGCGGTCTCGGCGAGGCTCTGAGGATTCAGCGACCCTTCCACTCTCAAGTAAGCCACGACGATCTCCTTCCCCCAGGCAAACGCTCACTCTCATGCTCTCGCCAGCTCCCGGATGCCAAGGATCTGCACCACTTCGCCCTGGGCGGCTATGGCGCCCATCTGCTGCACAGCTTCCCACCGCACTTCCTGCACCCGCTCAATCCGGCCGTCAGCCAGGCGGGAGGCGCCAATGGGAGCCCCTTTGGCGGCGGAGGCGCTTTCGTGAAGCCCTTTCCCTCCAATCTGCCTCTGCCATCGGCCTTTGCGCCCCCGAAGTGCGTCGGACTGTCGGGATTGGAGCAGGTGAGCTCTTTATTTGTGTATCTTAGGATGCCAATGCAGCATTTGAGCTCCACTATTTGCACATTTCGTTTATGTTTCACGAATAATATACTAGGAAACTGAATTGCATCCAATCAGTTACACACAAGCGCGAAATTTTCAGTTTCCTGTAAGATTTAGTAGTTTTTAGAACATTTAGATAATTTCTTATTAGATGAGTATTTTTCCAGACAAACTATTGAAAACTGCGAAAGAAAAAGTTCTAAAATGTTCAAACTCTTCAAAAATTTACTCTTTAGTCTTTAATTGAAAATAATTTGATCTATTCAGAATATATAGAAAGATAAAATAGAATATAAAGTGCAATTGATCCTTTTCCTTCACAAAAGTCTTCAGAAAATCATTTACAGAACTGTAAAAAAAATTCTCAAAAGTTACATATAAAAGAGTTAAAGACATGTGTTAAATGCATAGAGAGGACTTTTTTCCAATTTCGCAGTATTTTCTATGCCAGTTTTATATGAGCTGTGCAAGAATTACCTCAAAATTTGTCTGCAAAAGCATTAAAAACTTGTAAACAACAGGAAAAAACACCGCTTAATCTTGCAAGAAGACATTTATTTTATCCTTGTGGCCAAATTGTTTATCACAAAGCCAAATTCTTCCACTAAAAGACGTTAGTAAATGATTTTCCGAGTTAATGCGAACAAATTCGTATTGCAATCAAATAAGCACAAAAGTCTTTGCTATCTATTAGCCAATTTGAACTCGGTGTAATTGCACCAAAAAGTTCTTTGCCTTCCCTTCCTTGCAGAACATGATGTTCTCGAGCGGCGGTGAGTCTTTCCGGACGGATTCCTCGAGTCCGGCGTGCACTTCCCTGTCGCCACCGGTGAAAGAGGAGTCTCTGGAGGGCCACACAAGCGAGGACGGCGACCGGGATCGGATTTGTTCGCCGGAAAGGAGCCCGGAGACGCCGGGATTTCGACGTGAGTACAAAAGTCTTGACGCTTATCTTATCGCGCGGTGGTCAAAGAGGAGATCCGCCTCTAAGGAGTCGTCTCTATTTTATTGGTGAAGCGTGCTAAGAACTACTCAAGTGTATTTAGCACCTCTGCGTCTCCCTTTGGCCGCGCGGGAGCTGTTTTTGTGTGTGTCTCTCCTTCACGGGAGAGAAGAAAGGCATTTCGAGCGCGCCTTGGCATTGAGAGTCCGCGCGCGAAAGGAAGAGATGAGATTGGAGTCTGAGGCTATGAAAGAAGGTGAAAATTGGTAAATCAACAAATAATCTCTCAAGCCATTTCCCCTTTTTTTCTGGTCAGTCTCAGTTGTTATCTCTCGTCTCGAGATTGTCTGTCTTTTAGAGAGTTTTTCACGGGCGGTTTGGAGCGGAAAAAATGGCTGAATGCCACTTTTTTAATACACTCAATAAGCGATAATGATGAAGAGGAGAGCTTCCTTTGTTCTGTTTGAACTCCCATCGCGAGAGTAATGTGCAGTCTAGACCGCCAACACACACTCTAAAAGCATATATTGGTACCAATATTTGCCTAAACTATTACGCCTCTATGGGCCGAGAAGACATTTTCATCGTCTTGCGTGCGCTTCTCTTTGACCACGACCTTTTAAGGCGTTCCCGCGGACGAGTTTCCATCCGAAATTTCAATGCTGTTTGGTAACCATGTGAAGAATGTCGAATCTCTTGCATCAACTCAATTATTCTACATGAAAATATGCCACAAATGTTATGATATAATTGCTGATTTGTAATTACTGTGTTCTTTTTTATCCTCCCTTCTTTTGCGGTCTTCATAATATACACAAATTCTTGTGAGACTTGAGAAAAAAAGGGAGAAAAAGATACTTTATGATCTGAGATAAATCGCATATATAGTTTTCATTTCTAAAAAGCTTTTTCCCATTTAATGTTTATGATTACCGATGATTGTTTTATGATATAAAATTATCAATTGGACGGTCTTTGGGTGGGTCATTAAAGGCTCTCAGCATTTAATTTCATATTTTAAATGCTGGAGAGACTATAAAATCCGGTCTTTTTCTCTCCTTCTCTCTCCCATATGTGATTGGATTGTGAGCTTTGGCAAGAAAGTGCTAAGAATTTGTCAAATAGACTCCCTTAATTATGCTAATTTTCAACTCCGCAATTCATCAAGATACAGAACAAAGTGTGCAGAATCTCTTGGCTATTGATTCAATTGATGCCGAGAGAGCGGTGAATTTATAATGGTCCACTTTTCAAGTCAAATATTGGCCTATTGCTGTAATTAATTTATGTGTTGGTGTTGCTTCAGCTTGTAAATTGATTCGGAGGGTGGCGATTTGAAAAATAGGGGATTTTCACGAGGGGTTCTTCAGTTTATGTTTGACTTTCCACACTAACATTTTTCCACTTATCATCTGGCAAATGATTGATTTTTGATATTTATAAAAGATAAATTTGAGTAAATGCGGTAAATTCTTAGGTATTATACGATTTGGCATAGCATTTGGATGGATTGGTGTTACCAGATGAAGTCAGGATATTTATTTCATTTCAAGAATCATTGATATGCAGTAATTTTAATTTCAGAAGAGTAATAAGTGCTTATGGAACTGAAGAATATTAGAATTTAGACTGGAATTTACCTAATATCTTCACACCAGCGGTTTAAGTTGAATTTCCCTACGAAGATCCTATTGATGGTGTTGCCAGATGTGATCATTCAACTCATAATGTACAAAGTAGCTTATTATGCGTAAGAAACACGAAAATAATATTGAAAATAAGCACAATTCCTGCAAAGTGAGCTATACTCTGGCATTTTTCAAGATGAAACTTGCAAAGACACTCAATTTGTGTGCTGATGAGCCCCGCGAAATGAGTCTGCCATGACTCCTGGTCACACTTTCTCTCACACTTTCCACGGTAGGGAAAATTGAGGGATTCGCGCTGGTGTCGACAAATGTTTTTCCCAAATACACGGTTAGTTAGGTCACAGAGCATTTTTGCTGTGGCTGCTCGTCGAGGCGAGAAATTTAATTGTCACCGCAATTTTTCAGCCAATTCAGAGCGGCCCAAAAGTGGGATGGACTCTCTTTCCATACGCGAGTGACTCTTGAGTGGTTGTGTTGCCATTGAATTCGTCACAATTGTAAAATATCCAACCATACATAAAAGTATTTCACGCATCTTCGTCTTCTTTTTCGGCAAATAAAAACACCCGTGAAATTCATGTTGTCATATTTTCCATGCAGAGCGAAATTGAAAATGGGGAAATATTTATTCTTTTGCCATGCCGTGACAAATGACAATGTTCCACATTCAATTTTGGGTGCGGAATCTTGTGTGTGTGTGTGCGGAATTGTCACCCTTTTTGTCAGCATTGAGTGCACTATCGGGTGAAAATTGGCAATAACCACTCGATGAGAGGGTGAGTGATCAATTGTCGAGGGTGATTTGTAAACTGGACGAGCCATAGCAAATTGGCTGGCCAGCAGAGCGCGCGTGTATTTTCTTTTTCTGTGTTTTCTACGATGTTTGAAATATTGGCGCTCGGATTTCTTCTGCGGCACTCTTGGCAATTTTAAAGTGTCCAAATCTGATCCCGAAGGCCTTTTAGCCTGTCCCTCTTCACCCGAATGTCATTCACAATGAATTGGCGATTTATGACGCTGTTTGCAATCTCTCTTCACATTTTATATCCAATTCTCCGTGCAGCCGGATTGCAAATTGTCACACAGTGGCAAAATTGTGTTCGGTTTCATATTTTTATAGCCTCAACACAGGACTCTTCTCTGTCCGTTTGCTCAGCTCTTGGCGCAGTCCTTTTCGAATATAATAAATCGAGAAGATAGAGAGAGAGAGCGAGGAGAATTTATGAATTGATTCACCATGCGAAGACAATCGGCCGAAGATGTGCTCTTGACGAATTGAATGGGAAACAATAAAATGTTATCCCTCGTCAAATGGGGGCCCCTTTTAATCCCCCAATCTCGCCATGGGCTTTCGGTTGTTAGATAAGAGGGAGGCGCGCACAAATTGATGCACGAGTGCTCGTGTAAATTCGACAATAACACCTATAATGTGTGTCTGATATAATTTATTGATTTCTCACAGTCGCCAGGAAGAGAGGGAGAGATTCACGCAGTTGCATTCCAATGTGCTTGGCTTTCGGCTCTGTTAACCCATTGAAAATTTATGGTGTGACGTGCGAAGGTGTTTCTGAATGCGATGAGTGGTGAAAAGAATATATTTTCATGCATTTTTAAGAAAAATCCACAAACACTCAAAAAACAATACGTAAATTGTACAATTCAAGTTCATCTGCTTTTCCTTTGTACATTTATAGTGCAAATTCTGTAGATCAGATTGATTCAAATGCTTGTCTTCTGCATTCACTCTTCATTTGATACTCAGGTTATTGGCGAGATGGTGAAATGTAGGGCATTTTCGGGATTGATAAAGGGTGAAATTGTCAGCCGGTGCTGAAAGATGTACACGATCTCAAATGCGCCTCACAGACGCTTGACTTTTGATGTTGCGCTCCTCTGGAAATTAATCTGTTGACACGTATTCCAATTTCTCAAATTTCCCACATCACTTAACAAGCTGAACACCGAAGTTGACTCGGAAGATAATCCCATTCTTTCAATTTGGTGCGCCTTCAGCCCGGTGTGATCTTTCCTTTTGGGCGCTTATTTGGTGTGTTTGTTGCTCGCTCTGTCGCTCTTCCCCTTGGAAAGCGCCCCGCGGAATATGCCACAATTGAGTGCACTTCTGCGACAATGCCAATGATTGACAAATTACATGGGGTCGTTTTCATGTTATTTAATGCCTCGCATGCACACCGCCATTGAGTGAGTCTGGCCTGAATGCGTGTTCGGTTTGTGAGCCCATTTTGTCCCAGGATAGAGAGTCAGTAGCATCTTTTCACCCATTTCTGATCATCATCCTCACTTTTCACGACACTTCACGCATGTTAAATTTATTGTGGTGCAACTCAGCAGAGGGAGAGAATAACTGGGAAGGTATCATTTGTGGTAATGTGTGCATTTTGCAATCGATTTTGTCACATTTTGCGAGTCAAGAGGGGTTTATTTTGTCAGTCTTGCAATATGACGCTGGGAATGTTATCTTGCATTAGGATAAACACACAACAAAGTCCAAATGTTAACGAATGTGCAGGAAGTCAGTGTTTAACTGGGTTCTTTGGAGAAACAATAAACATTCACAGAGTACCAATTTGGCTATTAAAAACTACAGTGGATTTGGCTTTTGAAAAAGAAATTAAACCCTTGATTGGCTGAGGGGCTGAGAAATGAAAGAATCTCTTGTCAATTGGTGAACAAATGTTGCCAAACACATATATTTTGAGGATTTTTTTTCAATTGCAACACTCAAGAGTAGGAATATTGATTTCAATTCCGTGCAAGAGTGGCTGGTTTTGAGGCCAAACCGCCAATTGAACGCCAAGTGGACGAATTAAAAGCACTCCATCACACCTGTCGCCCACGCAGTTCTCTTAATTCCGCCAAATTCATCACTATGGGCTTCGGCACGGTAATTGCCAAAGAGTGGTCATCCTCCGGCTTCACGCGCTCCGCCATCAATTGGCGGTGGATGGCTATTTGATTTTTGCCTAATTGAAAAGCCATCGGGAATATCTCTAAATATGCAATTGTTTCCCACACTCTAATAGCGCACTTTAGGGGAAGGGCGGGCGCGACAGAGTGACGCGGAAAAAGAGTTGTGCGGACGCGTCATTGGACGGGGGCCTTTTAATTTTTGGACACATTTTGCCCAGTCATTTTTGAAATCACGTACAACTCTTTATGCAAAAGGCCAAAATACGTGCGGTAAATATGAATTACATGCGCGCGAATGTGTGGCCAACATTTTGCCCATTTCGCCCATATATAACAACAATATTTGAGGCAGAAGAGGTGGAAAATTCAGTTAAAAACCATCAATCTGTCGACACACACACGC